CAGCAGCTGGGCGGAGACTGGAGCCAGTCGGGGGACGCGGCCCGGCGCGCAGCGGCAGCAGGAGCGCGCCCCGCCCCCGCGCCGGGAGGTCCGGCCCACGCCCCTGGGCCACGCCCACTCCCGGAGTTGGCCTCGGGCAGCGCCTCCTTCCGGCCTGGCTCCAGTCGCCGGCCGCAGGGGTAGAGAACCAGAGCCTGAAGTGGGGGAGCGGGGAAGGCTCGGGGTGGCCGGAGGAGGGCGGCGCGGCGCCGGAAGACCGCAGGAAGAGGCGGGACGGCGCCAATCTCCTCTCCTTATTAGCCCAGGTCCTGGGAGGCGTTCGTGTGCGCGCGCTACCAGCCAGCACTTGTGTCCGCAGCGCGGGGGAAGGGTTTACTGTGCTAGCTTCTGCCGCCGGGTCCTGGCCTGCTAGCGAAGCATGTGTGCACCCCAGCACACCCCCGGTCAGCACCCCAATACACAGTGTCCGCCCCAGAACACACCATGTCAGCACCTCAATACAGTTTGCATCCCAATACAGTGCACCCCAGCACACAGAGCACCCCCATACAGTGTGGACCCTGATACACAGTGTGCACCGCAGCACACACCTCGCCTGCACCCTAGTGCAGTGTGCACCCCAACACGCAGTATGCACTCCAGCACACACCACGCCTGCACCCCAATACAGTGTGAGCCCCAATACAGTATGCACCCCAGCACGCACCACGCCTGCACCCCAATAAAGTGTGCCCCAATAAACAATATGCACCCCAGTAGACACCACGCCTGCACCCCAATATAGTATGCACCCAATACAGTGTGCACTCCAATACAGTATGCACCCCAGCAAACACCACGCCTGTACCCCAATACAGTGTGTGCCCCAATACACAGTATGCACCCCAGCATACAGCATGCCTGCACCCCAATACAGTGTGTGCCCAATACAGTATGCACCCCAATGCAATATGCACCCAATACACAGTATGCACCCCAGCACACACCGCAATATAGTGTGTGCCCCAATATGTAGCATGCGCCCCAGCACACACCACGCCTGCACCCCAATACAGTGTGCACCCCAATACACAGTATGCGCCTCAGCATACACCACACCTGCACCCAATACAGTGTGTACAAGTGTGTACCCCAATACACAGTATGCACCCCAGCACACACCAGCCTGTACCCCAATAGTGTGTACCCCAATACAGTGTGCACCCCAGCACACACCATGCCTGCACCCAATAGTGTGTACCCCAATACAGTGTGCACCCCAGCACAAACCACGCCTGCATCCAATACAGTGTGCGCCCCAATACACAGTATGCACCCCAGCACACACGTCTGTACCCAATAGTGTGTACCCCAGCACACACCACGCCTGTACCCAATAGTTTGTACCCCAATACAGTGTACACCCCAGCACACACCACATCTCCACCTAGTACTGTGTGCACCCCAATATACAGTGCACCCTAACACCCACCATGCCTGCACCCAGTACAATGAGCACCCCAACACACACAGCACAAGTGCATCCCAGCAAACACCACGTCTGAATCCCAATTTAATGTGCACCTCAATATAGTGTGTGCCCCACACATCTACACCCCAATACAATGTGCACCCCAGCACACACTACGTCTGCACTCCAATGCACAGCGTGCATTCCCCACACACACAGCATGTCTGCACTCCAACAATCTCCTGGGGACTCTGGGTGAAATGACCAAAGCTAGGACATTACATTCATCAGGTATGTGTAGCAGAAATGTCTGCTTGTGATTCATCTTAAGGTTAAAAGTTCTATGATCCCATATCTTGAAAACAAAAGCATTCTGAAAGCCTTATCTTGACAAATGTGCCTCTATTGGGCCAGGCGCTGTGGCTCATGCCTATAATCCCAGCACTCTGGGAGGTAGAGGCGGGCAGATCACCTGAGGTCAGGAGTTTGAGACCACCCTGACAAATATGGTAAAACCCTGTCTCTACTAAAAATACAAAAATTAGCCAGGCATGGTCTCGTGCACTGGTAGTCCCAGCTACCGGGGAGGCTGAGACAGGAGAACTGCCTGAACCTGGGAGGCGGAGGTTGCAGTGGGCTGAGATTGTGCCACTGCACTCCAGCGGGGATAACAGAGTAAGAGTCCGTCTCAAAAAAAAAGTGCCTCTATTGATGTCTTGCAATACAACATCTAAAAAAACAAATTTTTTTAAAGTCCTCTTTGCTTTTCCAGTTCTCAAAACAGAAAAGATTCCTCTGGTCTTTTTTTAGTTTGCTTTGGTGTTTTATTAAAAAACAAATGTTTAAGTAGAGGCAAACAGGTGTGTATCTAGAGTAGTTTCTCAGTGTCCTGGAGTCTAACTCTGCAATTCTGTTTCAAGCTTACTGTAGTCTAATGTAATCTATGGTCTAATTTAATAAGGGTAAAATGTTAGAATTAGGAGACCATGTAGCCTACATCAATCCTAACCATTCATGCTACCTAATTACTCCTGGAATATTATGACTTCTTTACTGGCTTGTCTTATGTTATTTTTTAACTTTCTAGTGCAATGTGTATATATTTATCTCCCTGGGTATTTTAAATTGTACATTATTTTGAACTTCTCACTGTACCCTGCACTAAATTCAGAAAAGACTTGGGTTTTGTTTGATTGGTTGTTTTGCTGTGGCTGGAGAAAAAAAAATTTAAAAAGCAAGAAAAGGGCTTGTGGAACGTTGATGAATTAATCCCTTATAAGGGTTTAATTGTGCAGGTGGGAAAAAATCTGGGTAGTAAAATATCTGATAAAGCTGATTCAGTTATTAGATCGCCAATAAATAAGGCAAATTAACGGAAGGCTCAGCTGCAATTTGTGGGAACATATGAATTCAAGGAAAGAACTAGAGCAGAGATTCTGAAAGCAGCTTAGTAACGCTGAAGATCAAACTGCACGTGAATCTGGACATCGACGTATTTGAATTGTCCATAGAACATCATGACTTTAAATTAACAATAGTATCTTCTGTCTTTAGAAAATTCATGTAATGTTTTTAGCCCCTCACTGGCTATGATTCTATTATATGTTTTCTTTTTTCTTTCTTTCTTCGTTTTTTGAGATCAGAGTCTTGCTGTGTCACCCAGGCTGGAGTGCAGTGGCCTGATCTTGGCTCACTGCAACCTCTGCCTCCCATTTCAAGAGATCCTCCTGCTTTAGTCTCCATGGTAGCCAAGATTACAAGTGTGCACCACCACACCCAGCTAATTTTTGTATTTTCATTTTTATTTTATGTATTTATTTATTTTTAAGATGGAGTCTCGCTCTGTCACCCAGGCTGGAGTGCAGGGGCACAATCTTGGCTCACTGCAAACTCTGCCTCCCAGGCTCAAGCGTGGTGGCTAATTTTTGTACTTTTAGTAAAGATAGAATTTCATCTTGTTGGCCAGGCAGGTCTGGAACTACTGTCCTCAAAGGATCCACCCACTCTGGCCTCACAAGAGTGGTGGGATTACCGGCCTAAGCAACCATGCCCGGCCAATTCTGTTTTCTTGAGGCTTTTGGAGATCATCAAAATGACAAACATAACTCACAACCTAATGATAGTTATAAATGTGATCCTTGTCCAGCCATGGTGGCTCACACCTATAATTCCAGCACTTCGGGAGGCCAAGGTGGAAGGATCACCTGAGGTCGGGAGTTCGAAACCAGCCTGACCAATATGAAGATACCCTGTCTCTACTAAAAATACAAAAAATTAGCCGGGCATGGTGGCACATGCCTGTAATCCCAGCGACTTGGGAGGCTGAGGCAGGAGAATCACTTGAACCTGGGAGGCGGAGGTTACAGTGTGCAGAGATTGCGCCATTGCACTCCAGCCTGGGCCACAAGAGTGAAACTTTTTCTCAAAAAAAAAAAAAAAGAAATGTGATTCTTTTGCATTTTGAATATTTGGAGGGTGAATGTTAAGGTAAAGTAAAATAGACCGCTAGTGGTCTTCCCTGCCGTACCTCCCAGCCTACATCCTACATCTTTCTCCTGTGCTGGGTGCTTCCTGCCCTCAAACATCGGACTCCAGGGTCTTGTTTTGGGACTCAGATTGGCTCTCCTTGCTCCTTGGCTTGCAGACAGCCTATTGTGGGATCTTGTAACCCTGTAAGTTTGTACTTAATAAACTCCCATATATAAATATATATATATCCTATTAGTTCTGGCCCTCTAGAGAACTCTAATACACCATATATACCAAAAACAGAATTTGTTTAATTTGAAGTCACCTCCCTCTCCAATCTAGGTCAGAACAAGGAATTGTGTTAAAATTAATGATTCCCAAATATCACTAATGACCATAACAAAATCAAGTTCTTAGTATTACATTTTCTTTCAAGGCAAAATCTTGTAAATCTGAAGCAGAGTTTATTATGGTTGCGTATTGTTTAGGGGTTTTCAAGTTCAAGTTGAGTTAGCATTTATTTTTTAAACACTTCAAAACATAAAGAATTGTATGTTTGGCTGGGCATGGTTGCTCATGCCTATAACCCCAGCACTTTGGGAGACCCTGAGGCCAAGAGTTCCAGACCAGCCTGGCCAACATGGCGAAAACCTGCCTCTACTAAAAATACAAAAAGTAGCTGGGTGTGGTGGCAGGCGCCTGTAATCCCAGTGACTCAGGAGGCTGAGGTAGGAGAATCTCTTGAACCCAGGAGATGGAGGCTGCAGTGAGCTGAGATCGTGCTACTGCACTTGCTCTCCAGCCTGCGAGACAAGAGCAAGACTCTGTCTCAGAAACAAAAAAAAAAGGAAGTGTATGTTCATCTCTTATTTGACTCTCAGAAGTTTGAGCACTTTCAGTTAGACTGGAAATATAACTTAAAAAAAAGTAACTTTTTAATGTTTCTTATTTTTTTGTAATCCATTTGAAATTTATTTTCTGTTCTATAGAAAAAAGTTTTAACATCCATTTTTGCAATACACCACAGGAAACAAAACTGAAACAGACAAGATTTTTCAACATATTTTCAAAATTAAGCACCTTTCTTTAGTGACATATTTAAAATTTGTCACTGTTATGTTTTATTGCTTGATCTTTTAAGTTTGTTCCAAAAAAGATAAAATATTTTTTGACTTTTTTTTTTTTTAAGTTCATGGCTTTTATTAACTCATACAGTTACTTGCCTTTTGGTTTGTTGAAGCAGTAAGTCACACAACATTTGCCACAATAATGTCTGTCAAAGTGGCTTGCCATAAACATTCCAGCACTACATTCCTCAGAAGGGCACTCTCGAGGAAGGCGACTCATTTTGCCATTCTCATTTACCTCGTAATAGTTCAGGACAGCCAGCTTACCCTTCTCTCTTGTGCTTATTCTTCCTTTTCTTAGCACCACCACAATGTCTCAACACAAGATGAAGAGTGGACTCCTTTTGAATGTCGTAGTCAAAGTACATCCATTTTCCAGTTGCTTGCCAGCAAGATCTGTCTTCGTTCATCAGGAGGAATTCCTTCCTTATCCTGGATCTTGGCCTTTACATTTTCTATCTTATCTGAGGGTTCAACCTTGAGGGTGATGGTCTTCCCATTAAGGGTTTTCACAAAATCTGCATTTTGTTGGCGGCTCCACCGCACACGGCATGGTGAATTGAAAAGAACCTTTTTTGACTTTTTATCCCAAGGGGTGGGCTAAAAAGTTTTACGGAACTTTTCACTACTCCATCCCCAGCGCATGAACCAGTAGTTGGCACCTGGTAGGCAGTCGTCAATATTCCTTGTTGAATGAGTAAGATGCCTTTTTGGTTTATGTGTATGTGAAGTGCATACATAACAAGTGAGGAACAAAATCATTATTCAGATTGTACTGTACTGTGATTTTTTTTTTAAAGATATAACCCAGGTCAAACTCCATCTTATTTTTTTGTAAGGAATAAATTACTTCCAACTTTATTCTTGAGTTCTGGTAAACACCATTCATTCGAGAGCCAATGAATGCAGAGTCTCACGCTGTCGCCCAGGCTACAGTGCAGTGGCGTGATCTCAGTTTACTGTAACCTCTGCCTCCTGGGTTCAAGTGATTCTCCTGTCTCAGCCTCACGAGTAGCTGGGACTACAGGCATGTGCCACCATGCCTGGCTAATTTTTTCTATTTTTAGTATAGACAGGATTTTGCCATGTTGCCCAGGCTGGTGAACTCCTGAGCTCAGGCAATCCGCCCGCCTTGGCCTCCCAAACTGGTAGGATTACAGGCGTGAGCCGCCGTGCCTGGCCAAGTGTTACAGTCTTTTGTGCAGACTAGGAGTGGCCAATAAATCTTGTAGAAAGGAAAGTACTCATTTGCTTATAACTGGGCCGAGACTAGAATGGTGTGATCTGTAAGTAAAATAACAGCCATTTCCCCAAATGTCAAAGCAGAAGCTATACTGACGCGTAGGTGAGATGAAGGGGCTTAAAAGCGAAGATTAAATCCACTTCAAAGTGCAAGGAGTACCCGTCCATTTATCACTGCAGCAACGTTTCAACGTGAACAATCCGATTCCAAACACAAAACAGCTCAATTCAGTCTCATTTGCCATACTGACATCCATAGCACAAAATATCCTGCAGGGTGCTGGAATGAGCACCACTGCGGTTAATCTACTTTAAAATACTGGATTACACAGAATACTCCTTTAAAAAATCCAAATAGTTTTAGATGTCACAACAGGGTTGCATCAAATACCAGATGTTTCCAAATCTTACCACCAGAATGTGTACCCATTTCAACTGCAATTATTTTGTGTCTAAAGCAGTGCATTCTGCTTTGCAACAGGATAAACCCGGTGGATGAAAGCTGAAACGCGACCCTGTCCAGATTGAGAAGGCTAAGAAAAATGGAGAACCGCGCTGGCGTGCAGCTGACACAGAAACACTGCACGGGCTGGGGACAGGGCTTAGTTCCTGGAAACACATGTAGCACCACCCACCCGGCTCTCCTGGAAAGAGAAAGTCCGGTGAGAAAGGTGAAAACCGACAAGGCACCGCTCTTCGACTCGGTGTAAAGAAAGACAATACAAATAGAGCAGGGCCCACAGCGGAGGAAAACTGGCGAAACACAGTCAGCCTGGCGTAGCGAGCACAGTTCTTGGGGCCAGCCCAGAGGGGAGCCGCGGAGTCCGAAGCCGGGCGGAGGCCGAGGCCGCGCAGAACGGCGTCGCCCGGCAGGCACTGCACAAAAGCGCGAGGCCACGCCCAGGAGGGGGCGTGTCCTTGGCCGGAAAAGGGCGGGGCGGCGCGCGGGGCCGGTCGCCTAGGCAACGGGTTCGCACGGCGCCCGGGCTTCTCAGAAAACCCCAAATCCAGGAGCTTCGGGAGGGCAGAGGGGCGATGGGGGAGGGAGTCAGGGGAGCCGAACGGCCCCAGGACGTCGGCCGACCGGATGCCTGCCTGCTGTTGGCGGCCTTCCCAAGTGTGAGGAACGGCCTCCGAGAGCGGCGTCAATGGCACAGGGCAGGGAAAGAGATAAGGCCTAGAGAAGGCTCCCCTCGGGCCTATGCACCACTTCTGGGGCTCGACACTAGTAAGCAGCTTCCCTCTCGAACCCCTTTGTCTCCAAGCCGTTCCAAACTGGGCTCAGGGAGGCGACACAAAGGGCGGGCGGTGACAGACGGCGCAGGCGCGGGAGCCGCCGAGGCTGCTGGGAGTGGTGGTCCGGCCGCAGAATCGATAGGTCTCCCGCGCACTCCGCGGCGGCAGTTCGGAGGACGCCGAAGCGGGCCATGGCGCATGCGTCGCCACTTCCGCCCATGTCCTGCTCGCCCCTTCCTTCCGCCTCCCGGTGGACTTGGGTTTCTAGTAGTAAGACTCGGGGGAGGCGTTACCTGTGGTTCTCCCCGCCTCTTCTTCGTCCTAATTGGGCTGTCAAATGAGGGTCGCAAGTGGATTGGCTACTGCGGTTGCCAGTTCTGTTTCACGCCGTACTTACATAGCGCTGCGGGGCGGAGACGAAGAGTCAGGGGCTGAGAAACGGAGGTCTTCCTCGCTGCGTGCCAAGGTCCTGGAGGCGGCCGTCCCGCGGCCCGTTCGACCCTGGTCGGGTTTTCAGCGAAGCAGGCCGCTCCCCTGCGTTTCCCGGCGGGCATCCGCGCCTCTCAACAGGCTCTGCCTCCAAGTGCCAAAAACTCCTAGTAAAGTTTGCTCCTCGTCTGCGGTCCCCGCCCCGGCGGACCTGTCGCTGTCCCCTCCGCGACCCTCGCCCCTGGCCAAAATGACAGGCAAGGCCACGCCCCCGCGCAGGCCGGCCTCGGGCCCCGCAGCCCCCAGGGCCCGGGACCGTGAGGGGCGTGAATGCGGCGGGGGGCGGGGCCGCCGCCGGGGGAGGGGGCTGGGGCGCATGCGCGCTGCGCAGCGGGGCTGAATGTTTCCCAAGTGTTTGAAACTGGTATTTGGGTTTTCCACGTTGGACAAGTGCGGCTCGTCGCCCAGCGGAGCGCGCCCCTTCCCGCTGCCCTCTCCTCTCTTCCCTCCTCCCCAGCCCGGTGGGCGGGTGGGCGGCGGCGGCCGCGGCGCTGGGCCCTCTCCCACCGGTGTGTGCGCGCTCGTACGCGCGGCCCCCCGTGCCAGCCCCGCCGCCTGAGAGGGGGCCTGCACTGCCGGCCGGGCCGTGCGCCCGGGAACCACCAGCACCGCGGCCCGCGCTCCCAGGCGCTGGGGTCCCCGCGGACCCGTAGGCTGCGGACGGGCTCGGCAGATGTAGCCGCCGGGCCGGGCTGGAGCCGGCGGGGGGGGCGCCGGGAGAGCGAGGGCTTTGCATTTTGCAGTGCTATTTTGTAAGGGGGGCGGGAGGTGGAGGAAGCGGAAAGCCGCGCCGAGTCGCCGGGGACCTCCGGGGTGAACCATGTTGAGTCCTGCCAACGGGGAGCAGCTCCACCTGGTGAACTATGTGGAGGACTACCTGGACTCCATCGAGTCTCTGCCTTTCGACTTGCAGAGAAACGTCTCGCTGATGCGGGAGATCGACGCGAAATACCAAGGTACGGCGGGGCGATGGATGGGTGGGGGCGGCCGTCTCCATCCCGGCGGGTCCGGGCGCGCCGTGCGGCCGGGCCGGTCCTGCTGTGGACCCGAGGAAGCGGCGGGCTCCGCAGCGGCGGCCCTCGGCAGGGGCAGGAACAAAAGGTCTGGAGCGCCTTTGATTCGCCAAGGTCCTTGTGTGCAAAGCCCGGGACACGGAGGAGGAAGGAGGCGCGAGAGGTCTCGCTGGAAGGCTGCGCGACCAAAGCGCTCTTTGTAGTGAAGTGATGAGGCGGGTGCTGCGGGGGAGGGGGCGGCGGGTCCTCTAGGAGGGGGTGCAGATTACGGCGCGAGATGGAGGGATGTGCCGGCACCTGGGGCTGTAGGGCGCAGAGACGAGGCTGCAGGAGGAGGGCAGCTGAGCCGGGGTTTCCGCGGACCTGGTGCCTTGGTTCGGAGCAACGGCGCTCCCCCAGCCCTTCGTCGCCCCCCACCCAGTCCCGAATCTGAGTGTTACATAAAGTACCGGGCAGTACTCCGCTCGGGTAGCTCGGCCGCCCCCGCGCAGTCCCCTCCGGCCCCCACTTGGCGCTGGACGCCGAGTAGGGGCCGACTGCGAGGGGCGACGCCGGCGGTTGTAGTTTGCGGAGGACGAGGGCTTTTCTCTGTGTACGGTGGGGAAGGGAAGGGGAGGAGCGGAGGCGGGGAAGGCGCCCATCTGCGCTGCGCTGCACTGAGCTCATGGGGCGCCGGCAGATCGCTGGCTTGGAGAGATCGTGGCAGATGAGAGAGAGAACCTGTGGGTCGTTCTCTGCAGACCTGGCCGCCCAGGTAGCGGGCTCGTGTCCGCCGGGTATTGTTGGCTGTTGGGGAAACTTTCCTGCGAGGTCATTCAATGCTTTGGGGATTCTGTTTTGAATATGGCTCACTGCTGGGAGTTTGCTCATGTTTACAAAGCTACGCAGTAGGGAAACGGAAGAATTGGGCGGGGGGAAAAAAATCGACGGCTGTCACTGAAAGCACCGAATACCCCCGCAGGGAAGGCGCCTCTGCGCGCCCTATCGGAGACGTAGCTTCGCAGCAACTTTTATAGGAAGCTCATTAGCATACTGCGGAACGTCCCGCCTCAGCCTTCCAATGTTCGGCTGTGACGTCCCTCGTGGAATGTCCTTATCAGTCCCCTGCGGAACGATTGGTCGCTAAGGCGGATGAAGGCGGGCCTTGCGCAGTAACTGGCATGGGTCTGTGTTTCCGCTGTCTTCTTTTTTCTTTTTCGGGGAGGAGCGGGGTGGAGGGAGGAGGTCGAGTTGATTTGAATGTCTTCGAGCTGCTCGGCCTCCGACCTCGGATTGGTCCTTGTCGCTGCTGGGGCGGGCCGCGCTCTTCCGTCCTGAGCTGTGATTGGCTCTCTTCCTGGCCTCCGCCCTCCATATCGTCGATTCCCATAGGTGGCGACTCTCGGGGGGCGCGGCGAATCTCCCGCTGGCCTCCTCCCCATTGGCCTCTCCGGCCCTCCCCAGCCCCGCCACTTCCGGCCGTGGAGCGACGGTCGTAGCTGGGAGCCCGCGGCTGGGGGCTGGGGTTTAGGGGCCGAGGCTGCTGTTCGGGTCGCCTCCCGCGCCCCGGTGACCCGCGAGATCGCCCCACAGACAATCCCAGGCCACATCTCTGCTGACCTGAGGATGGGGCCGCGCGTGGCCGGGGAAGCGTGAGTGACCGAAGCTGCCTTCACGCGCGGCGCACTCGGAAGGTGCTGTCCTCGGGCCAGGCGGGCCCAGTGCGGTGACCCTGGGGCTCCGGAGTGAAGGGAGACGGGAGCCGAGACCATTCTATCGCGGGGCATGGTGGAGGGTCCCAGTGGTCAAGACAGCAAAGTTCACAAAGTTGGCCTCGTCCTCCTGTGGTTGCTGGGGAGAGCCTGGCTTGCCGCTTGCTTCAGGTTCACCTGGGATGATGAGCTTTTTGGCTTCAGGAAAGATCGCAGTTCCGCCCTCCCGGGAGTTGTGGAGCCGCACAGCTGGGAGTACCGGGAAGCATGCGCATCTGTCACGAGGTGTCACAGCTCCTTGGACTTAGCTGTAAATGCTGAGCTGTGCCGCGTAGTTCTGAAAGACGAAGCTTGTTTTCACAGACCTGCTCTGTAGCAAGTAAAACGTCTTTTGCTTAGTACACATCAGTTGTGTGTTAATCCATAATCATGGATTAGTTTATCAATTTAAAATGGTGTTTGAGGTTACTGGAATTGTTTTTCAAGCATTATTAGAAAAATACCCACCCACTCCCTGGGAAGTCCGCTTCATAAAGAACTTCAGTGCAACGCTTACGTAAAATTGAACTGCATTTAAAATAATTGGACAGACCAAGTTAAATGTTGCTACAATCTCATTTAATCTGTAAATTCCACGTGCTGTTGCTTTCCATGGTAATGGTGTGGAATATGTTTGGAAAAAAGGCAGCAGGGTGTCTGAAGCTGAGTTGCTGGCATTGGAGAAGCAGAGTGTCTGGAAGGATAGCTTCCTATTTAGCAGTAGTGTTTTTCCTATTTATAAATATTTGTACTTATTGGCTTTGTTGATAAGAGTACTTTGCTTGGGATATCAAAGAAATATTAGGTAACAGAAATAGTTCTTGGTAATTTTGCCGTTGGGTATTTCCCTTCCTGCACATTAGGCTTCACCTGGATGGAAGCATGCTTGGGATGTAAAATAACCTCTGTGTTACTAACTTTTAAATTTATGTGATGCAGTTCTTTTTTCTATGAAATGACAATATTGTCTTTAGAGATTTGATTACTGATGAAAAGGAGTGATACCGTTGCATAACCCTCAATCTATTTAAAAATAAATGGTACACACCCGTGTTTTAACATCTATGATAAATAAGTTGGAGAAATTGGTAGTACTTGAATAAGTTGGACACAGCGATTTATTTGTATAATTAACCACTATGTGAGACGAGTGCATTCCTCCTTTCTGGTGGCAGGCAGCCTGCATTGTTCCTCTAGAAATGTCTTCAGAGCTCCCCTTAGTTTGAGAATATACTCTGGAAAATAATATCACTTAGAGAAGCTGCAGTGTTGGCCTGTCATGTTTACTCTAGTGTTAGGTGTATGTCTTGTAACTATTTGGAGGTGAGATCTGGAAAGGGATGGGGGTAACATTTTAGACAGTCCTTCCCACTCTCAGCCCCTCCCCAAGTACTTCCTAGTTTAAAAGCAGTAATGTTGCCTTGTTTTAAGAGACTGCCAAAAGGTTTTAGGAGAATAATCTAGTACTGTTTAATGTAATGGTTACTGTTTGAGGAAAAAGAACTCTGGGAATTTCTGTGTATTTAAGTAGCCTTTTGGCAAGATTGTTTACTTTCTTTATGTCAACTAGATTCTTTAACAGCTTTTGTTTCTTGAGAAATTGCCTAATTACACTTTAAAATCATATACACTGTCCTCTAACAGGCCCAAGAAGGTTGGTTTACATTTAAATACTGAAGAGATTTTCTTTTGTTTTTGATAACATTTTAAAGTCCATTGACTTTAATAAATGTGAGGATGTCTTTGCTTAAGCAGTAGATGCAAAGGTAAAAATCTACCTTCGTTTTAAAGCAAGGCTAGTGTATTCACTGTAGTTAAAAAATAATAATGGCCCATAACAGTGATGGATTTATAGTCCCAGCTACTCAAGCGGAGGTGAGAGGATCAGTTGAGCCTGGGAGGTCAAGGCTACAGTGAGCCAAGATCACACGACTACACTACAGCCTGGGCACCAGAGGCAGACCTTTTCCCTAAAATAATAACAGCAGTGCTTTATTTTAATAAAAATAAAGCTAGGTTTTCTGGATTATTGTGGCCAAACTGTTCTTGCTTTCACTAACAGAGAGGAATAACATGGTGAAATAAATGTGGGGGGCTGAAACAGGGCCTCAGTCACAGAGTAGTCTGGACCTTTGCTGTTAACCCAGTTCTTTAACTCAGAGAGAGCTGTTATAGAAATGTATACACATTGTCTAACTTAACAGAGTATTCTATATGTTGGCATGTTAAAGAAAATAAAGATCTTTTTTTATTTGAAATGTTCAAATTTATAATAAGAATATTTTTATTAATGACTGCATAAATGTAATATGTTTATAGTATGTCATATATATATTAATAATTGTATTCAAGTAGAAACATTTGAGGAAAAATGATGGCAGTATAGGACATAACCATTAATAGAAAGTATTAATATAAGTTGGGTCCCAAGCGCTGCACCTCATTTGAACGGTTCGTCTTTAAGGCATTGTCACCCGGGCGTGGGAACCGTTCTTGGGGTCCCTGGGGTGGCTGGAGCGACTCCTTGCCCTGTGGGAGTTGTGCTGGCATTTGTGTTTAGTTCCAGGGCACAGGAACAGAAAGGCCCAGGAGGGCCTATGTCTGGTGGACTTTGTACTGGGCAGCCGTGCGCTGACCCCCAGACCCCCTGCCAGCCCTCTCTGTGGACCCGGGTCTGGACCCACGTGGGTTGTCCTGGTGTCCTGCTCCTGAGTGACGCCTGCCTTTCTCTCCCCCAGAGATCCTGAAGGAGCTGGATGAGTGCTACGAGCGCTTCAGCCGCGAGACGGACGGCGCGCAGAAGCGGCGGATGCTGCACTGTGTGCAGCGCGCGCTGATCCGCAGCCAGGAGCTGGGCGACGAGAAGATCCAGATCGTGAGCCAGATGGTGGAGCTGGTGGAGAACCGCACGCGGCAGGTGGATAGCCACGTGGAGCTGTTCGAGGCGCAGCAGGAGCTGGGCGACGCGGCGGGCAACAGCGGCAAGGCTGGCGCGGACAGGCCCAAGGGCGAGGCGGCGGCGCAGGCCGAGAAGCCCAACAGCAAGCGCTCGCGGCGGCAGCGCAACAACGAGAACCGC